GTGTGTTTGATGGTGCAGACGTTGTTGAGGCGAGATGTTCGGTCGAGGGGTAATAACAAAGTGGTTTTGAGGTCGGGAGTGTGGTAGTAGATTTTGTGAATAAGGCACAGCTGAGAGACTTTCCTGCGAAGCTGCAAAGAGGACATGGTTAGTTCAGTTTTTAGCGCCGAGACACTGAAAGAAAAGTCATAAGTGGATGAAATGAAGCGAGCAGCTCTGTTCTGAACTGCCTCTACAGCGTATTGATGAGGTACAGTCGATGGGTATTCCAGATGGTTGAAGCATATTCTATTTTTGGTCTGACGTACGTGTTAAAGGTTAGCTTAGGGACAAAGGGTGGAGCGATTTTTTAAGTTACGTCTGCTTAGTCCAAGAGTTCCAGATGAATCGGCGGTAATGACTTCAATGTGGTTATTCCAGGGAAGGTCAGATGTTAGTCTTACACCAAGGTATTTATACCAGACATGTACAAGTTACTCAAAAAAAGTAATTAAGTTAAGTTACTGAGTATTGGCCTCAACAGTAATTTGAGTAGAGTAGAAATTACTCAAATGGAAAGTAATTGAGTAAATTACTAACTACCGTAAAAAAGTAGCGAATTATTTTAAAGTTACTTTTGAAGTTACTTTTATATTTTTTATGGTAAGAAAAAGTACACAGGTTTTGATCCCTTAGCGAAATTGTGCTCACCAAATATACATCGGCTTGTTTTTTCACAGAAATGCTTAAATAGCTGGTTCTGCTACTGCGTGCCTAATTGTTTTGCACTTCCTTGTTTGTTTGGTCAATTGTGTACTGCAAATGTGTCACTTCTACTTTGAGGTTTAGCACTGCTTGAAATTGATTTTTTAGACAGTGCACGCCTGTGTAGAGTGTTGCGTAAAGTACATCTTAAAAGTACTTGAAGGAAAGTACAAAGTAAATGAGAAGTTATGTGCCTCAAGTAAAGTAGTAAGTACACCGGGTCCAATGTACTTGAAGTAACGTACTATAAATACAATATATTTGAAGGTAAAGTACAAGTACTTTTAACACAATCTTTCATGATGACCTTTCATACCCTATACAGTGTCTTTTAACTGGTATGCAGTGCTCCAGGGTTAATCGGAGGTGCATCGGTTTTTACGGAAATGGCAGCAAATATTGTATAAAGTCAAGTCACCACAGAGTAGTTGTACTCTCGCTGACGAGCTATTCGACACAATCAACTTATAAGGCACTTATTTGTATCGGTTTTATAGCTGCCATTACTTAATTCAGAGAAATGAGCAGATGACATCTTGAAAGAGCGCGTTTTCACACGGCAATACACCTTTTTTCTTCAAATTCGGGGAATGTACACTGAAGTCGGGAGTTTTACTTTCCTTGGAAGGTACAAGTACGTGCTCAGAGAATGTACTTCAAGTAAAGTACAAGTTCTCTAAACAGTAGTACTTTAAGTACCATTTACTTAGAGTACTTCCCAACACTGCTTGTTTATTATTTTTTATATAAGAACGTTGGGGGAATTATTAAGTTTTTTCGAACGATCTTCGAATCTTCGAAGATCTGCATATTCTAAGTTTTGGGAGGAAAGGCAACGCAAATAAGTCCTCGCTGCGTTGCCCTCTGACACGCGATTCTTCGAGTACAGCACAAACTACGGGAGCATCAGATGAGCTTCAGAGCATGTGCTGCATTTTGTTGCCTCCTTTGAGTGAGGATACAGTCTGTGCACCTCGTGTAGTGAGCGAAAGTTGCTACGCTGAGGAAAAGCGGAGACCAGCCCTTCGTTCAAATGGGTCTCAAAGAAACGCCAGTCTTCGGGACTCAAAGAAACGCCAGTCTTCGGCGCTAATCCTGTAGTTACTCTACCCCTCTTGCGTCGTGTCTGTTCGCTCCCCGCGCCTCGTAGCAGTGTTGTTGCAGGGGGGGGGGGGGGGGGGGGGGGGGGGGGGAGGGGGGAGGCTCGTGAAAATGTTTCCGAGGTTTCGAAATCTCCAAACCATTTTCTCCCCCCCCCCCTTCCTACGCCAGATGCTTCTCCCTCTTTGCAAATATCAGCTGATCTTCCAACATCTTACCTCTTCTGTGCAGGGATGTTTGTTGATAGGCAAAAGAACCACTAAAATTGGAAAGTAATTTGTAATTTGAGTAGAAGTTACTTAGAAAAGGTATTTAAAGTAAACTACTAATTACCGAAATAAAAATGTAATTGGAAGTTACTAAACTACTTAGAAAAGTAGTTAAACTACAGTAACTTGAGTAGAGTAGTTGAACTACGTACAAGTCTGATTTATACACAGTAGCGGTCTCAATCAGATCGGAGTCCAAGAAGTAATTAAATGACAGAGTGTTTTTTTTCTTGGTGAAGTGGATTAGTTTGCGTTTATACTTGTTTGGTGACATAATCCACTCTTTGCACCAATTGTTAATTTTATCTAGATCTTCCTGAAGCTGGTTATTATTTTGCACACAAGTTACTTTGTTATGGATGACGCAGTCGTCGGCGAAAAATCGTTTTTTTTTTTTGAAGAAATCCCAATGGGAATGTCATTAATAAATATTAAAAAGAGTAAGGGCCCAAGTACGAACCCCAGGGGAACACCAGGAGATACATTTATTAAGGAAGATTCATGATCATCATGGACGTGACCTGTACACGGGAAAAAAGAAAGTCACGAATCCATGCAAACGGTTATTGGTCGAGGCAAAAAGATGATAGCTTAGAAAGAAGGCGTTGATGGAGGACACGGCCGAACGCTTTGGAAAAAAAAAAAAAAAAAAAAACTGCGTCAGTTTGGACGTGACATTCAAGGTTAGTGTGCAAGTCATGGATGAAGTCGCAGAGTTGCGTTTCGCAGGAAAGTACCTTTTGAAAACCGTGCTGCTGTTTAAAGAAAAGAAATGGGATGATAGGTGCCTCATGATGTTGGAGTAGAGGATATGCTCAAGTAGTTTGCAAGAAATTGAAGTCAATGAATTAGGGCGATAATTAGATGCGGAAGAGCGGCTGCCCTGTTTAAAGACTGGGAATTACCCTTCCCTCCTTTTGGTCAGATGGAAGGCAGCTTTGAGATGAGGACTGAATGAAGATGAGTTTCAAATACTCACTAGAAATAACACGGGTGTTTCTTTTAAATTTTAGGGTTGATGTTATCGGTTCCAGCGGACGAAGTAAGTTTTAGTTTATCAATCAATGTTTTAATACCAGCGGAGTTAACGTTAATAGGATGCATGCGCTCGTAAAGCTGTCCAGGGAGAGTGGGGACGAAGTCCAAGAACTCGTTAGTAAACACTGATGAAAAGTATTCGTTAAACACAGAACTATCATGCTCGACGTTGCACATCCGACATTCCTAACTCTCCCCATCTTCCTAAACGTCCGTGTGTGTCCTAACACCAGAAACCGGAATTTTAAAGGTTAAAAACGGCACGTTGCGAATATGGAACGCGCACTTTCATGCAAAGCTGACGTCAAGTGACTCAAATCGAAAAACATGCATATTTACAGTATTGTTATCTCTTCTGGTGAAGGCTAAACAACCGTTGCATCCGTTTTCGCGCACGAAACGGTGACTCCCAGAGAAAGTAAGAACGCAGTGATTGTCTTTATTTTAACAATGTAAACACACTTGCAGGCGTGCGCTGATGAAGCCTCAAAACCAAAACTCTCGTAGTGTGATTCGTGACTGCTCTGGCTACTACCCAACCTCGTTGTCACGCCACTTTCTGCAAGCAAACACTAAAATTGCCAGTAAACACACAAAAGCCACATCGATACAATTATCTTGTAGAATATCACCTTATTTAATCATAACTGTTTCAATAGGTACTACAAGTTGTATTTATTTTAAGAAGAAGAAGCAAAATTTTTTTCGTGAGAAAAAACAAAATATCAATGTTAAGTCTGGTAACGTTGTAATTTTGCCGAATCATTGCCAAATCTTTAGAAAACTTCGACAAAAGTTGCGCCGAATTTTCGATTAAGCGGGGGGGGGGGGGGGGGGGGAAGAGGGTCGGGTTTGCCCCCCCACTCAAAAACAAGTTGGTACGCCACTGAACGTACCCCCCCCCCTCCCTATAGTATTTATAACCTCCTTGGTCATCGGTGTTCTAATTTTTTCTACGCTAAATGTATAATACATGTGCAAATGCGAAATAAGCGCTGTTCAAGTGTGAATTTAATCAGCGTAAAACAAAAAAATCCAACCCAGCGATAATAATTTTACTGCCAATTTCGAATTTGACGTTGACTAGCACCACCTGGGTCTGTAAGGGCGCAATCTAGTCATAGATAAGGTAAGGGCGCAACATTTAGTCCCAGTGGCCTAAATGTGAGGGTGCGAAGGTTAGCCCTGGGGGTTCAGCTCTGAGGGAATAACGGGAGGGGCGCAAAAGTTGCTCCCCTCCCCGTTAGTCCCCCGGGGAGTAATGGGGGTGGCAGCGCATTTAGTCCCCTGATGGAGTAAATATCGCACCGCTTTTTCCTTAGAGCATGGGCCGCCGTGCTCACGTAACTGGATAGAAACGCCGAAGGAGGGAAGCACAGTGAAGGAGGTAACGACAACACAGAGCGTCCTTCGGCGCTTCTATCCTGTCATGAACCAACAGCCCACCTGAATACCCGTAGTCGGCGCCTATGCTTAGGTAAACGTCTACTCGTAAAAGAATATAAGTTTTTTGTTAGTTGTTTTTTAATCCATGGGCAAACGTCATCTAAGCGCGTTCTATCCCGACCGCTAGCTTTACATTGTCACGGAGTTTCAGCTTCCTGTGACGCATATAGTTTATTTATTCGGTCCGAAAAACAAGGTCCCCTTTTCTCGGGAACCCCTTATACATTGTAGGCGGGCCAGCCTGCGTTTTCTCTGTGCCACGGGGTGGAATGGAAGCGCAGGGCGCGCAGGCACTGCCCGCTCCGTCGGGCTTTCGGATCAATGGCGGGAGGGTCGCGGTGCCGAGACCGCGATTGGACGGCTCCTGTTTCAGCCTGGCGTGTCCCTCCCTCTTTCGCGCAGGCCGGACAGACTTCGGGGGCATCGACAATGAGGCGCTCGACTTCAGTCAGCTGGAGGAGTACATCAACAACGACAGCAACATGTGAGTTACCTCTTCTCCATTCGCCTTTGTTGTTTCTCTTCTTTTTGTTTTCTCTCTCAGTTAAGCTTGCGTGTGCCAAGTTCGTACTTATTCCACAGCTGAATTTTTATATATATATATATATATATATATATATATATATATATATATTTATTTTAACGTGTATTAGCTTGATTGATAGCTTTGTTCATAATGCAATTAATGCCAAGGTGGAAGCGAGCTGGACAAGAATAGCGATAATAATCTCTGGAAAGGGGGAACAAGTGGGACAAAGGGCGAACACAGATATCCAAACACAACACAACGCAGCTGTTAAAACCCATTTGCTCTACTGACGTCAAACTCCCGGTTAGCTCAGTTGGTAGAGCGCTCCACTGGAAACGGAGAGGTCCCTGGTTTGATACCAGAACCAGGCGGATATTTTCGGTCGCGCACCAGTCACTTAGTTGTGTTTAGAGATCTGTGTTTGTCCCATTGAGTTATTATAATGTACGCTAGAGGTTCAAGTGGCGCTAGTGTGCTGACGCAAATTGAAGCAGACAGCAACCAGTCGAAAATTTACTTCCGGTGATGCATTTTATGGGAAAAAGTGAATGCATTTTCTCCCTGCGCTCGATCATAAGAGCAAATAACCCAGATAATTTGTACTTGGAACATTTCTCAGTCAGGCCGACGAAAGAATTGGTCAGATAGGCGTTTTTCTTTTGAATTCGTCGCATTAAAAACGGTGCTAAAACGGCTTCGTACGTGTATTTATGTGCACTGTCGGTCACTGTTAGCGCGAACGCGGTGTCGGCGATTTCCAGCATGGGGGATATACATGCCAAACGAACGAAGGGCATCTGGAAAATCAAGTATGGCGGCAAGAACTACGCAGCAACACTGGATCAGTAACTCGCAGTGCATGTACGATCACAATAAATTGAAGGCCACATAATCTATTCCGATTTTAAATAAGTAAGCACCGCTTTATTCTTTCTGCCCTGAGCGAAGCTGCTTGTTCTATGTTCGAAATATCACCCGCGCGCTCGATATCTTTGAGAACAAGTGCGCGATAAAAGCTGCCCGGCAGAGACAACAATACGAAGAGACACCTTTCATAGCCCACGGACTTTATTCTCTACGTTTTGAAGGTTTTTATCCGCTCGTGCACGACGGGATCATTTTCATATAGTGACTGGACTGGCATATTATCAATATACAAGCGTCACCGGAATGCTGGCGAGCCTTGAACACACTCTATGTTCGTTTCGATTGTAATTTTGCTTTGAATCGTCGCTTGTTTTTACACACCTGCTGCGGAACACACGTTTGGGACTGAAATGTAGCGAAGTTAAATATCGTTCACTGGTGAAGAAATATGCGCTAACTAAAGCAATTACACTTTTACAGTGTTAATCAAGGTACATGCTATTCGGTACGACCCAAATAACCAAAGTGCTCCGTGTTATTTTCCGGCGAAGAGACAAAATGCTCGCGAGTTTTCCCATAGGAATGCACAGGAGCACCGCAAAAGTAGACTGGTTGCTGTCTGCTTCAATTTGCGTCACGGAAGTTGCATAGACACATAGCGCCAGTTGAACCTCTAGCGTACATTATAATAACTCTGTGGTTCGTCCTTGTCCCCCTTGTTCCCCCTCTCCAGGAAGCATTATCGTTATTGATAATTTGAAGTACAAAAAACAAAAATGTACCGAATCGTCCCAAATTAAAATATTACTGTGTTTAAAAAAAAAAAAAAAAAAAAAAAAACTTCTCGCAAGGTTTTATTTTTTTTTTTTTTTTAATGGGCGTAATTTTGTCATTGTTGATAGTGTTAACATGTTTCTTTATATGTCTCCATGTGCGGAACTTTGATCTGACATTCCCGCAAGTACCACCTATATAAATACGTCAAGCCTGTTTTGTTTTGTTTTTAGTAGGGCGGCTTTATATACTTCGTCTGACCCTACGATGGACTAAAGGCAGAAGCTACGGACCGCCAGATCCAATCACGAGCCACTTACAGGTTGCGTGATATTTCGCTTCGATGCGCGTATCGGCACCCGCGTCTCGAATCACTAATGGGGTAGTTTGGATTGAATAGCACTGAGTGACTCAACACTTTTACATTGCAAAGAAAGTAATGTCATACAGGCTCTTTGCAGTGTCGAAGCTATAAAAATGATGCAGCGCTTTTGGACTGGGAGGATCATTCGTCCACCCCTAACCAATGCTAAGCGTGTCATATTTTAGCTTGCAACGTGATTGGACCTTGCGGCCCGTGGCTTTGGCCTTTGGTCCATCGTAGGATGAGACGAAGCAGGGCCGTACCCAGAAAAAAATTTGGGGGGGGGGTTTCAGGGACAACGGCGGCCATTTTGAAAATGTCTATTGTCTTATTTTCGCCTATGAATCATGTGCATCGGTGGCATATAATGGAGAGTTATAGCAAACCGAAGAACCGGTCCCGGTTTGGTACCCGGTAGCCGACCGGTGCCACTGCGCGTGCGCAGAGGTGGAGATTAAAATCGGCTGGCTGTAAGTGCACCGACCAGGGCCGTACCCAGAAAAAAATTTCGGGGGGGGTCAGAACCCCCTAACCCCCCCTCTGGTTACGGCCCTGAGACGAAGTATAGTCTATTTCACCTTATGATGTACCACAGGAAAGGCTACAAGCGCGAGCTATAGCTGTGGGGCAAATCTCGGCTGCACAAGCTGCCAACGCTATGAGCTCGTGCTTCTAACCTTCGCTGCGGTACAACATAAGGTGAAACGGAGGGGGTATTCACTGGACGCCATATTTGAGGGCGATGTTTAGAGCGCATGTTTAGAACGAGCTCACATTAATGGCCTGCTAGGACCGACAATCTTGATGGTGCTGAATGCACGTTGTAAAAGAACTGCGGAAGCTCGCCGTCAGCACGCGCTCAGCAGCCGCACACACACATATGGCCACCAGTGAATACTCCCTATTAGCGGCGAGATGTTTTAGTAGCGCCCTCATACGGTTACCTTTTGTGACGTCATTACCTTGCGAACAACAACTTTGATGGTGTTTGCAAGGAGCATGGTGGAAGCTTGAAATCATTGCGCTCTTAAAGCAACACTACCAACCCCGTCGAAATTGAAGTTCTTCCATTCCTCTTATTTCCGTCGATGAGAAATCCTTTGCTGACGTCGTAGTCAGCATTCGGCCAATCGTGGAAGGCCGACAACAGTGACGCTTTCGATCGCGCACGTCGTCAATAGTATCGTCACCTTTGTTTCAATATAGAAAAAAAAACAAAAAAACATTACACTTTCCACATTGAGTGCGCTCTCCATGCGCCATGTGCAGAGCAAACCTGTTTGTAATGCGTGTGCATATACTATAAATAAAGTTTTCCCCCACTTACCACAATCCCGGAGTCTTCTGGGTTGAGCCATGATTGGCGGCCGGCGCATCTGCCTGTTATTGCGTGCCGTGCTTGGTGGGGCGCATGCCTCGCTCGCTGCTGCGTCTGTTACTGGCTGAACGTATGACCCGTTGGCTGTGGCAGGCCGTGATCCGATCACTGAACGGCTATGATTAGCTGAACGCACGACTCACCCGTGCCGAGATTGGCTGAGCGCCTGATTCTCTTTTTTTTTTTTTTTTATGGCATGCCGTGAATGCTTGAAAGCGTAATCGTTGATTGTTTATGACCCGTCATAGCATGCCGTGATTGTCTAAATACATGAACCCGTGATTCAGCGGCGAGCGCTCCCCTCTCCTTCTCTCCCTCACTCTCTCGGCGCAGTACTTCAAAATTTCTTCCTCGCAGCTCTCTATTAACGAGCGATCTGCCAGACTCATTGTAACCATATTTGATTTTTTTTTTTTTTTTTTTTTTTCAATTTTGGGAAGCATTTGTTACCTATTACGGCTTATAGTTCCACTTTCGCTGTGTTGTTTTTTGTACCATGTGTCAAAACTATACAATGACTCCATGCCCCTTTATGTTGAGTCCCTCGTGGGTACGTAATGGCACTAAGAAATGAAACGAAATATCTGAGCTCATCACTCGCTTACTTGAGCTTACGACCCGCGTGCTTTGGCGTGCAGTGATTGGCTGAACACGAAACTACAATCTGTCTAGCCTTTGCCTCACCTGCCACAGAGGACCTAATTGGCTGAACGCACGACGTGCTCGGTATGGCGTGCCGTGATCGGCTGAATGCATGACGGTCATCCGCAGGGCCAGTCTCACTTGCCACCACGTGCAGTGATCGGCCGGAAGAATGAGACGACGTCAGTATATACGGCGAGCAGGTGTTCCAAAATGGTGCGGAGCGTGAGTTCGTCTGCTTCTTTTGCAAGGGTTGTGGCGACGTCAGAACGCTGAGCTCTGATTGGCTCTGGTCGAAGGACAGTGGGTAGGCCTCGAGGCAGCTTGCTTTGACGTCTACCCACTATCCTTCCACTCAAAGCCAATCAGAACTCGGCGTGGTTCTGACGTCACCGCAACCCCTGCGCAAGAAGCAGACGACTTGCTCTCCGCGTAGACGTGCCAATCAAAACGCAGCATCACAGAATCCGCAGGAAACGCGGGATGTCAAGGTAGCCCAGCGAACGCCGTCATTAGTTGAGGTTGGGGGGAAACACAAGCGCCTGGGCACATTTGGGCGGATAAGCCAACGCGCGATGTGCGCGATGAGCAGACGAACTTGCACGCTGTATAGAACGCAACGCCATTCAGCGTCGCATGTTTTTTTCCGAGTCTCGAGCGGCGTGTTCTCTTGCAGCTACTTCCACGAGGACCTGGTGAACGCGGGCGACGCGTCCCCGACGCCCGGGAAGCGGCCGTGTTCGGCGGGGGGAACCCCGTCGCTGCCCCTCGGAGGCCCCACCAGGGACGTGGTCGGGACGTCGGTGGCGGCGCTCCTGCAGAGCGCGCTCTCGCAGGCCGAGTCCACTGCCGCCGCCGCCGCCGCTGCCGCGTCCACCGCTTCGGCCGTACCCGTTGCCATCGGGTGAGTCTTCTTTCCTTACGTCTATTCCTTTGTATCTGTTTATTTTAAGGTTTGAAGCTTATTTCCGCCATATACGCGACAATAATTTCTCAAGCCAAAAAAACAAACAAAATACAGGGTGTCACAAAAGAAAATTTACACGGTCTTTTTTACCGCAAATATAAACTAGGCATCGCCGAACGCTCATTCTCTGCCCAAAGGTAGCGCTAGAGGTCACAACCAGATGCCAAAGTTTCAGCCCGATCCGATAACTTAATCAAAAGTTATAAGCGATTTTCTTCAAATTTCAATGGGAAAATGGCGGCCGATCGAGTTTTCAAACACATGGGGCTCTATGGCACCAGAAACCGAAAACGGGCAAAAATGAGCTACATTTTCCCATTGAAATTTTCAGAAAATCACTAATAACTTTTGATTAAGTTGTCGGATCGGGCTGAAACCTTGGCATCTGGTTGTGACCTCTAGCTCTACAACTGGGTGGAGAATGAGCGTTCGGCGATGCCTAGTTTATTTTTGCGGTAAAAAAGACCGTGTAAATTTTCTTTTGTGACACCCTGTACTTTAAGCTTTTGCATTCTGGTGAAGAAGGAAGAGCAGCGGAGCTGTAGCTTCTTTTCTCGGCGGTGGCTTTCCAGGAGAGCGATCTGCTCTTTTTTCGCGAGGGAATCTGAAGCGCTCAACGCGGAGGAACTTTATGCGCGATAGCGGCCTCGCGGCGGTTGCGGAACCATTCGCGCTGCTGCGCACGTCGCCGCTCGTTCCGTTCCCGCTCTTCTTCCTCCGAAGGAATGTGGCCGCCATCTATGAGTGACGGCAGCAACCGGTTGTCTGGTTGCCGAGGCTGGAAAGGTTGCCGCGGTCTATGAGCGACGGCGACGACCAGAGTGTTGTGTCGACATTTGTTTGGTGCCGGACACGATCCTGGAAAAACTAGCCCTTAACAGCTCCGCTGTCAAAATAATAAAACAGGAATAGAGGACGAGGCGACGCCGCGACGCTCCGAAAAGGCTTGGATAGCGGCTAAAATCTGTCATAAACGCGAACAAGAGAAAAAGAAAAGAAGCGGTAGTAAAGTAGGATGGGGCGACGCTTTAAAAAGACGCGGCGACGCGTGCCAGGAGGGCCGAGAAACGGGCGTCAGTTTCCGCTGCGTCCCTCATAAAACGCAATTCTGTATGTAACGGTTTGATTGATGGACCGAAATACAGCTGCAACTTCTGTTGCTCTTTTGCACGCGCGAATTGAGACGTATTGGATCCTGCGTCGGGATATTTCTCGAGACACGCGTGGACTAGAGTAACTGTATCTTCCTTGCGCCGCCGACTCCGTATTGGCGGAGAAGCGGTCACGTATGCGGAGCTGGATCCAACCTTCGTGGGGGAAAGGGACCTTGCAGGCGCCGAGTTTGGGATGGAGCATGTTTCTCGCTTTCCGCTAGCGAAATATACATCCTACACTACAATCGAACGAACTGGAAGGTTCTTTGACCATTGAACATTACGTGTAGCCGCTGGGTATGGCATAATCGCGTTGGTTTATAGCGCGAGCGATGTTTTAAAACATGTTTCCAATGTCTAGGAAGCAGACGACACGGAGGACGATCGCGTTGCTTGAATCTGTGGAGCGATACGCGACCGGCACATCCGGGCACCTCGGACCAGGCAACAACGCGCAGCTATAGGATGTATTCACTGGACGCCATATTTGAGGGCGATGTTTAGAGCGCATGCTCAGAACGAGCTCACATTAACAGCCTGCTAAGACCGGCAACCTTGATGTTGCTGAATGCACGCTCCAAAAGAACTGCGGAAGCTCGCCGTTAGCACGCGCTCAGCAGCAGCGCACACGGATATGGCCGCCAGTGAATACTCCTTATACGCTCGCGAAGGGACGGCGACGGGCGCTCGCGACACAGAAGCGCCGACGGCAGAGCGCGCGACACGAGAGCGCCGACGGGCCGCACATGACGACAGCTCGTGTGCGCGCCGTGCAAAGTTTCGATGATGGGATTCGCTCATACATCATAGGAAAGACAGACTGCTAACACGAGTCGCCGAAATCTCCGTTGTTCGAATGATGCGTGCCAAGTTTCCTCCTTGAACTCGTTGCTATGCGGCATTCGAAGCACGGATCTCGTGGCAACTCGCGTTCGAATCTGTATGCAGACTGTCTTTTGTGTGATGTATAAGCAGTTGTGACCCCCCGGCTTAAGGGCTCACTATTGGATAAAGTACGCGCGCAGCATTCAAGAGGTTGCGTTTCGCCGCCTCAAAGAAATTGTTAAAACAGTTCTGCACATGGTTTTTTTTTTTTCTTATAAACTTTGTTTTTCTTTTTAGGAACTGTGAGTATAATAATATCTGATATATGAAAGAAAAAAAAAAGATCTCGTCTTATATTTTTATTATTTAAAACTGTTTTAGGGGGTATTTGCAGTCAATTGCGAGCGAAAATTGGAAATGTATCAAGAAGTAACCCCTTAGGCTATGGCCATCACCAGCTTTCCACGCCTTCTGCAATTAAATAACCCAATAGCCTTATTTTCTAAGCCTGTCACGGCACGGGCAAAAGGAGGAAATAGGAATCCTGACCAAAATGCTTGATCCCGTACAAAATGGTCCCGAAGAGAATTGTGCAGCAAGATGAAACTTAAAGGCTATGATCCGATTCGGCCATCTTTCCAACGTATCTTACGATTTCGTCCTGCATGTAATGGCTGTCACCAATAAAAAAAAATCATTTTTAGTGATTTTATTGTTTATAGGAGGGGTCTCCAACACACGGCCCACGGGCCGCATGCGGCCCGCGACTCGGTAGGACGCAGGCGACCAGCTACGAGTCCCAGTTCCCATGTCTAAAGCGCAACAAATGGCATGCGACATAGTGATCTCATCGCGTCGATTTTGTTTTCGCTCGAAAAGTAGCTCTGCCCTTTTCACGTATTCACATAATTTATACTTATCTGTGTTCACTTTCCCTTTCTTTGGACTTATTTTTGCTTCCCGGCTTCTTGTACTGTACAACAATCCAGCTACTAGGCTGCAAGCGCAAGCTATGCGGTAAAGGATGCATCTCGGCTGCGCGAACTCTCGATCACAAGGATCAACTTCCAAAGCTAAAGCGTCAAACACAAAATTCTCGCCTAAAAAAAAATTATTAAAAGGCAAGTATTTCTTCAGAGTGTCCTGATAAATATTGTCATGAAAGCAAGAACTGTAAAATTAACTTTTTTTGTGTGTTTTTTTTAGACATGTAGAGCTTGATTAATTTCTGAGTGAATTGAGCAATGAGAACGGGTGTACTTAGTTCTCTTGTTCAAGTAAAAATGCCAGCACGTTGGCTCGGGTGGTGTCATATTAATTCTTGTTACTATATCAGGTCAGGGCCTAAAGTTGTCATTTAAACTAATCAAATTTAAAGATGTCACTGGCAAAACTGTGTTTACAAAAAGAATAGAGTACGAGGTCTCTTCACTTTAAGATCTTTTGAATCCCTCTCACGTTGGCCCTCGACCTTTTCGGTGTGGGCTACGTGGCCGTACACTCAAATGAGTTTGAGACCACTGGCTTATAGTGACCCACCCATCGGCCCCGTCAGCGTGCTCTCGTGTCGCGTGAGCTAATTTCACACGTTCTCGTGTCGTGCGCTCTCGATGCGCTCTTCCTTCTACGATACAGGGTATATTCTGAAGCGGCTTGAACATTTCCATACTTCACAGTTGCCTGCGTAGCAAGCGCAGCATGCCGCAGACTCTTATGAATTTGTAGCGCTTGTCGTCATTTTCAACTTTTTTTTGTTTTCTCGGAAACTATAGATTAAAACACAAAGGAGAAGAGCACAATACAGAACTAGGGAAACACTTGCGCCATTATGACCCATCGCCGCAGTCGCTTCCGAGGCACTTCCTGAGAGCTCGGCTTCCCCACAGTAAGAGAGTTAATGCCGCAAAGCCAGCTTGCCGTCGTTTAGTTTTTCGCGTCGTCTCGTATGGCGTATGTTTGGGCCACAGAGCAGTTAGGTCACTGGGGTGGTCGACCAGATCGAGAATGGAAATATTTCGTTTTTACAGCGATAGTTCTTACTGGCTGTTCCCACCACTAGAAATGACGCCCGTTTTTGGTGTCGTAGTTGTAGTTGTTGGCGTCGTGGGGCAACCGTCGTTGATGTTGCCAAATCCTCGAGAGAGATCGCCCACCACCCGCGGGAATCGAACCCGGGTCAGCTGCGTGTGAAGCCGAGGCGTTTCCATTGAGCTACGCAGCTCTACGCTTAAAGGGGTACTCCGCCGATTTTTTGAGCTACCTCAACTAACTATATTTTCTGACTCCCCGGCCTTTACTCTCTCCGGTATGCTATTCAGAATCGCGAAATTCATAATAGTTATTGCGAAATCGGCAAATGAAAATGATGCAAAAACCAGCATTCAAATATGCGCGCGCTTTTCAGGGCCGTGACGTCAGTGGCAGGCAGGCTTGCCAGTCGAGCAAGCAGCCAAAAAATAGAATATGCCGATCATTTGCTCCGTGCTGGAGCGCGGGTACTGCAGCGAGCTTCCCAAGCATTCATTTGACATTATGAAACTCCTTCGAATCAGTTTAAAACAAAATCTACAGCCCAAAGAGTGAACCCCTGCCTTCCACTGACGTCACTTTTTCACTGTTGCCAGTAGAGACTTCGAGCTTGAAAAACACGGTGAGGACCAAAACTGTAAATTCAATAACTTCGCGAAAAAACAATATTTTGACCTAATATTTGGGATACTATTTTCGCGATGTTTGTTGGTTAGGTTAGCAAAATTTCAAGCAAATCGGAGACAATGAAAAAATCGGTGGAGTAGCCCTTTCTTCATGGTCGCCGATTTGCTTGAAATTTTGCTAAACTCGCCAAACAACATCGCCAAAATAGTATCCCAAATATTAGGTCAAAATAATTTTTTTTCGCGAAGTTATTGAATTTACAATTTTGGTCCTCACCGTGTTTTTCAAACTGAAAGTCTCTACTGGCAACAATGAAAAAGTGACGTCATTGGAAGTGCAGAGGTTCACTCTTTGGACTGTAGAATTTGTTCCCAACTGATTCGAAGCAGTTTCATGGTGTCAAATGAATGCCTTGGAAGCTCGCTCCAGTCCCCGCGCTCCAGCACGGAACAAATGATTGGCATACTCTATTTTTTAGACTGCTCGCCCGACTGGCAAGCTGAACTTCCACTGACGTCACGGCCCTGAAAAGGGCGGGTATATTTGAATGTCTGTTTTTGCATCATTTTCATTTGCCGATTTCGCAATAACTATTATGAATTTCACGATACTAAATAGCATACCAGAAAGGGTAAAGGCCTGGGAGTCAGAAAATATAGTTAGTTAAGGTAGCTCGAAAATCGGCGGAGTACCCCTTTAAGGTTTTTCTAGCACCGGCTGCCCGCCACAACGAAAACAACCCGCTCTATAATTAGGGTTTTTGTAGCACCCGATGCCCAATGCACGCGCTCTCTGAAAAAAATATAGCCGATAGCAAAATGCCGTTGTAGGACACTGTGAATGCCAAGAGCTCGTGCCGGGAGACACGCGTTCACGCGCTCTAAAAAAAAAAAAAAAAAAAAAAGCGTTGGGAACAAAATGGTTAGCTGTCTACTTTGTTCCGAGTGCTTCAGAACGTGCGAACGCGACGCCGATGCCCAATGACTTCGCCGTGACCTTTCGCGGCTATGGCTGTGTCTGTGTCTGGATTGCTCAATTTTTATTGTGGATTGTTAGGGACACGGTAGAATAAAGAAGACGGGCTCACAGCCTTCAAAGGCGAACCACTACACGCCAGCTGGCAACCGTGGCGCTAGGAAGAGCATAAGGCAACGTTACTAGAACACTCAGTTGGAAAACTCGCCGTCGAAACCTGGGCCGCTGGCGTCCACCGAGACCGAGCTAAATTAGAGTTCCTGTATAGCTACCTACGGTAGCAGAGTTGCGCATTCAGCCTCGGCGAGTGGCCGTAGCGCCGGCTTTCCCGCACGCCCTGGATGCTTTGCTCCTCGCGTGACTAAATTTGGCGAATAGCGGCGCCGCGCGCGCCGCCGCGCACGGGAAACAGGAGAGGAGGAAAAGGAGGCGGAAAGCAGGCGAACATACGCTGGGGCGCGAGAAACGTCGGCGGGGCGGCCGTAAAGGTGGCTTTCTTGCACAGCGTGGATGCTTTGCTCCTCACGTGATGGATCTCGGCGAATAGCGGCGTGGCGGCGTGGGGAAAACAAATGCGCAACTCTGCTCCCCCTTCGGGGGAGCATATACAGGAACTCTAAGCTAAATACGACAACAGCGCCACCCTTTATCATTTGACTACTGTGGTCACCTTGAGCTTTTAGAAAGCATGTTTTTGGGTAAGAACAAACGGAAAAGACTCTTTTTGTATGAAATTTATTGGAGTTTAATACAAAATGAAGGACGCGTGATGCTTTTAAAATCTTTAGTTTGCGAGGCTTTGCGACACAATTAATATTGTTTTTATACAACCATGCCTCAGTGGTGCTTTCAGGTAGCGCGTCCCGACCTAGGTGCATTCTAGCTTCGGTAGTACGACGCGGCGCGTCCGCTGGGGAGACGGGGGTGGCGCCCATGTAACCTCTTCCGCTATATCTGTTTCGGCCCGAAATGACCGATTAAAGCCGAAAAATAAGTCACATGCAGTTCCTCGAGTGGCCGCTGCAAAAGCAATGGCGGCGTTGTGTTCGTCATTAGCTCGGTGCTCGAGGACAGATCGGGGACACTTTTTCAGAGCAGTCTCTATGGCAGTTTCCCAACTGAGTGTCTTCGTAACGTTGGCATAGGGTTATCCTAAATATTACATCTCCCCCTCCCCCCCCCCCCCCCCCCTCCAAGTAGCACAAACGAGATCTTATTTTTTTATTTTATTTTTTTTGCAAAAAGAATATAGTAATCAACTTTTCTAAATTGCCACCTGCCTTAGCAGTGGCAATTTAGGTAAGATGTAGAGGGCAGCTTTATAGTAGGAGGATATAACAGGCAGCTTTAAGCATACGATGTTGTTATTGTATAGCTCGAACCTTTACTGCGAAGGTGGTTGCCGTTTCGACCCATTTCCAATTCAACCTTCCCGTCTGTACCTTCCCGTTTCAACCCGGCTCAAAACAACCTTCTCGTTTCATACTTTCCCATTCCGCCCTATTCTGAAACAACCTTCCCGCTTCGGTCATCATTTGTTATCAGTTAAATCGGTTCATTTGTATTGTTCGTTAACAGTTGATTAGGTTCAAGTGTCCACTGTCCGTCCTTCTTGCTCCCCACCTCACCTCTCCATCTCCCGAAACAACCTTGGATAAGAGCTGTGTCAGGGAGGGCTCACTCGAACATTAACAGCGTCATCGATCTGATCAAACGGGATGAGGCCTTGACAAGACATAATTAAAAATAAAACGCAAAGACGAGAACAAAGTAAGAGGTAACCGGCAGGATACAGTGCTGTGTCCTGTCGGTTGCCTTTTACTTTGTCCATCGTATTTGCGCTGTTTTGTTTATAATTACGTCTGCATACCAACTAGCCAAAACTTCTACTTTAATCAACCTTGACAGGATATCTTTGCAGCAGCTTGCAAATGGTGGTGCCCTGCAGGCCAGGAGACAGCCAAAAACTATCAAAATTGGAGTGTCGTCTTTCTGATAACGCGATTTTTCTGCTCGACTTCCTCAACAATGGCGATAGCATTTTGTAGTTTATGAATTTTTCCTATGAGTGCGAGGGTTCAGTGTTTGAACTCGTAAGAAAATGAAGTCGCAATCATATGCCTGTCAACTTGTCTGATTTCTCACTCTTCAAAATATCCCGTTAGCTATAAGGAAGTTGTAGAATAACATACGTAAGCGCTTTGGGTAACATAAAAATAGCGTCGCAATAATAAAACCTAAGGCCACACTAATTTTTGCTTACTCAAAGTGCTTGCCTACGTTATTCTAAGACTTCATTATTGTACAGAGCGCGACACTGTTAGCGCGAACAAGCGATTGTAGTTTTACGCTGTTTGTCTCAAAGAATCAAATGACTGCCATCAATATTATTAGTGTCTTTGAAAGTGCTCATCTGGGCCACTAACCAAAGTGGTATACAATTTGGTACTTTCTAACACGTACCATTTCGAAGTAAAATTTAAAAAGTCGTCAACATCGTGTTCGCGGTAACGTTGTCACATTTCATAGTCCCACATTTTGGGGAACATCTTGAAAGAAACAGTTCAAGAGGTTCAAGTCGTTGGACTTGAACCTGAGATTTCGTTGGAGCTTGTCTGAAAGTGATGTATATTTTAAGAATACGTTGACAATAAAAACTAGTTCACAACATAACTAAATAGCTCGCCGGAAACTTTGCATTAATTGCATTCACAAAATTTCGGAACCGATTTTTAAGGAGACAATGTGCGCAAACCAGGGTTAGAACGATGGAGACTTTTCGTGAAGAGGGTGAGATGTGCGTGGCTTTATACCACTGGGTTTAAACGGGACGGGATCAAACTTAAAGGGTGTTTCGGCTACGGGTTCATATAAAAAGGGCGTTTCGGGAACGGGTTGAAACGGGACGGGTCCAAATGGGAAGGGCGATTCGAAAATGGGTTGAAATGGGACGGGTTCAAACGGGAAGGTCGTTTCGGGAATGGGTCCAGACGGGACGTATTCAAACGGGAATGGCTTGTTTCGGGCTACACCCTACTGTGAAACATGGTCAGTGACGCGTGACGAAGCGTTAGTGTGACGGAAAATGGTGTCACACTAAAAGTACCTAAAGGGGCACATATACGGCTTAAGCACTGAAACGCGTGTCTTGCCCTTTAAAATAGCGGCGTGCTTTAAGCGGTTCTTTTTGTCATCCAGCTAAATGCCTTAGATGTATATTTTAGCGTACCCAGGGTTAGCAGAAATGATAGCGCAAAACAAAAGCATGTTCCTCTTCCGTCTTGTATTGGGAGAACAAGCTTGCTATTCAATCCTGTGCACAAAGAAAAGCGTAGTGTTATATATATATATGAACTGTTACCTTCTTATTTTATGTTTGGTGGTTTCGCTCTTGTCACACATTCTTCGTCCATTCTGTGGCTGTCCTTCCAGGAACGGCAGTCAGCAGCACCAGCTTCCGGAGAGTCCACCGGACAGTGGGTCTGAACCCCCGTTCTCGCCTTCCGGAGATGGTAAAACTCCCTTTTTCCCGATATTCTTTTTTGTTATTATTATTTCTTCCATGCTAGCGTAATCGAAATATCCCTGCACTGCTTTTGTTTTTTTAAGAACAATCTAATGTTTCGAGTGCATGCAACAAAACTGGGATCTTTCTTTACCACTTTACCACCACTTACCACAGAAGGCTGAAACAGAAACCTGGACACGGTTTGTTGGCTAGTTGCAGAAGTATTTGCACGTGACATGTCAAAAAACGTGTCCCTATGACTACTCCATTGAGACTGAGTCGTCCGATGCGCGTGTGTGCAGAGTCCAAGCTGACGGGGCCGCCTGGCATGCAGCAGTCGCCAGGTCAAAGGTCGGGTCAGCTGGCCAGCTACCTGGCCGCTGTGCATCAGCAGCAACAGCAGCAGCAACCGCAGAGGCCACAGGTCAGCGCATTTTTTCGACCCAACCTTCTTTTTTCCCGCAATATATATACATTGTTTCATTACCTTTATTACCCAAGCGAAAGAAAAGCTGAGTCACTGGGCTATTGACGCACTTGCGGTGTCTGGTATACCCCGGAGTAGGACTTCTGCGCACATAAGTGCAGCATGCAGAAGACAACTATTGGAATAGTCTATAGAAAGTATGGAGTAGCCGGCACTGTCTTAATCTCTCCAAAAACACCGTCTATATGTATTTATTCTTTCTCTCTTTCTTTATCTCTAGATAGTTTTAGAGGCCTTTCTCGAACGTCTGCTTTACCCCAGGGCACGCGGGAGATGAGTGATTGCGATTGTCACACGTAGCGTTTCTTTTTTGATTCATGACATTGTGCGGAGGACTTAGTGATGGCAACCGTGTTTACTGGAATAGGCTGCCGCTACGGTACGAAACTCTGACCGTGAGAAATATTTCCCCCAGACGATTGTTATGTATTGAGTCACTTGGAAATAAGTAAAGCCACTAATTTTTCGTTTTTTTTTCTTTTTAATTTTTATCTACGTCACTTACGTAATCCTTCACTTTTTATTTTATTCATTTTCTGTTATGCTATTTACTCCAGAGTAAATGTCACGACGTTTGTGGATATCTTATACATAGCGTAAGGTTTTATATTCATGTTCCAGCATGTCATGTTTGTCTAAACTGAAAATTATGTTCAAGAAAATTTTGTTGAAATAAGGATCGACATTGTACGGGGATAGCATTAGGACACATATGATGTGATATTGAACAAACTAATTACCTAAAATTTGCTCATTCACTTTTTGTATGATCACCTTAGCTAGCACATTCTGCGCTGGCCCGTGGTTTCACAAGTACGCCTATCTTCTATGGCCTCGCAGCCGCGGAATGGTTCATAAGACGCCTCGAGGCGTATCAGGGGAGCTAAATTAGAGAGCCTGTATTACGCAAGAATCAAAGAAATAATAAAAAAATGTTTTGGGACAAGGACAGACAGTGCATTTTTATCAGCTACCAACAAACATCTACTGATGTTCCCTTCAATGCACACATTCTCCCTCCCAACTTTTTAAACTGAAGGAAAAGATACCTGAAGAAGCACCCGGAAAGGGAAGAAAACCCCAAACCAAAGGAATGAGTAAAGAAGATAAGAAGGGAAAAAAAAGAAGAAGAAAAGAGGGGAAATAAAAGGAAAAAAGAAAAACCCATTGACGAATTCAGTTCTGTAGTTGTGGCTTCAATTAGTTGATCTCAACCTTGGGCAACCCAACAGAAGGAGTAACAATGTTGTTTTGGTTAAAAGGCTTTCATGTAGGCTTCAATAATCTCTCGGCCGAGGTTGTCCTTGCGCTTCCACAATTATGCTGGTGTCCTTGAAACGAGTTTCATTTATACACTACATTGGATGAAATGATTTGCTTGAAGCATGAGAAACCTCGAGGATGTGCTCCTAAGCGGGTGCTTAGGCAACGCTCTGTCAGACCAATCTGTCGGTCACCGCATGAAAGGGGCGTCGAGCATACCACCCGCTCTTTAAGGCCCGTTCACACTCTTGCGACCGAGTACGACTGAGAGAGACGAGATCTCTTACAACTTCTTAAATGTTTCTAGAATGAGGGAACACACTGACATTGTGGCGCCATCTATGCGGTGACCCTAGAACTGCATTTCACAAAAGCGAAGGTTTTGCGGGATTTCCGAGGTCAAATGTGCGTAATACCGATAGAAAGGCTCGTTTATAACATTGACAAAAGTTTTTCGAGCCAAAAAAGAAAGGATATTGCGCGAGAAATAAAAAAAAAATATGCCGGACCGCCGAGTTTACACTGCTTCCCAATAGATGGCGCCAGTGTGTTATCTGGTTTAAGAAGTTTTAAGGAACCCAGGTTTAAGAGGTCGCAAGCAGTCGCAAGAGTGTGAACAGGCCTTTACAGGGAACGGTGGGATTGGCATGTTTGATGACACACCCTTTGGGGGCTTCATTTATAAAGTTGTTTAGGCGCAACTTGCTCGAGTAAACAACTGAAGTGTTGAAGGATGCTGCTATCCGGAGAGCAAGTCGCCTGCTTTTTGCACATGGCTTGTGGTGACATCAGCGCATGGCTTTGGTTGGAAGGATAGTGGGTAGACCTCAACGCTAGGTGTCTTGAGGTCTACCCACTATTTTTTTTTTTTTTTCAATTGGTCAATAAGAGCTTGGAGTTCTGACTTCATTGCAGCCCCTGTGCAAGAAGCAGACGAGCTTGCACTCCGCATTCTCTTCAGTCTGTGTGCAGAGTTATGCAGATATGGTATGGTGAAAACATGTGAAGCTTTATACTTCGGGGACCATGGGGCCTTTGGGGAGCTCAAATTAGCTGAACAAGGACGGTACTCAGCAGATCTTGTGGGTATCCAGCTTTGAGAAAGCATTCTTGTTGTTTTGCAATATGTCAACTAAGTGAGAAGAAGATTTGGCATGAGAAGAGGAAAAGAGGGACCGGATACTTCTATATTTGACCAGTTTAGAATGGGAACTGCAAAATGGAAGAACTGGTTTCTCGGATTGTTGTTGGAATGCCCAACAGATGCCGGAGGGAAGAAGATGAAGATGAAGATACTGGAGACCGTCGCCTGAGCTGTCTTCTCGTAAAATTAAGGCCTGAAGATGAAGACGTTAATTAAGGCCTGAAGACAATCGCCGCAGGAGGCGTCCACCATTAAATTGCAAACGCTCGACCGTTAGTCTGAGATAGACCCTCTCTTCAATCTAGGCTCTCTAAACTATAAATAGCCCCCCCACTCCCGTTTACCCTTCTGGTCAAGAGAGGGCATTTCGGCATTTCCTGGCAGGGCGAGGAGTATCCTTGTCGCCGATTGGTGATAAAAAGGAACGCTTTGAGGAATGGATGGGGAGGAAACCCTCTCCTTCCTTCCAGGGCTACAGCAGCGCTAAGGACTGCTCGACAGGCGAGTGTTTGGGGCAGCGCTCGGGAGGCCATCGTGGGCATAGCCCTAGTTAACGTAGTATCTTGTTTCGTGCATGTATAGTTTTTCATGGTGTGTTTCTGTAAATACATGGGGGCTTAAGCCTGCCCTCGTAAATGTACGAACCTCAGTGTCTACGTGTTTGCAGCCTGGTCGACAAACGCAGGACGGACCACGTGGGGCCGGCGTTAGATTTTAGGATCTAAATTTTTATTTCGTGCTATTCGGTAACCAATTTGAACCTACTTAGAGCCAACTCCAAAAACTCTAAGGTAACAGCTGTTAAGAATTCAGTAGATGGTTTCTAGATACCAAAATAATAATTTAATTAATAAGGTGTTTTTTCTTTTAATTAATTATAGTCTAAAAAAAACACCCTCTACAAAAAAAAGGCTTTGATTGCTTGAATGGTACAGCATACCTCGCCTACACAAATCTCAAACGAGTCTAAATGTAAAACATTTATTACTAATGGCGAATTCACGTGGTCAATCGTCGGCAATTTATTTTGCCGTAAAACCGGCAATAGTGTTTGCGTGGTCAGTTTCCGGCCGGCGCGCACCGTTTGGGTGGTGGTTCTCCGGCAAGCACCGGCAACTTTCCGGCGCTTTTTCCGCCCGAGCTCCGAACGGCCGGGCGAGTGGGCGCCAGACTGTATCCGGTGTCGTCACTTCCGAAATGAGAGAGAAGGTCAGTGAAAAAAAAATGAACGAAAGAACGAAACTGATTTGAAGTAACTTTAGCAGCCGCTACGGAAGTCAATCCAAGTCGTTGGGACATGAGTGACGGCGGCGACAGGCTCTCGCTAGCGGTGTCGCGCGGGGGCAAGAGGCGAAATAAACTGCCACCGTCTGGCGTTTCGTGTTCGGGTGGTGAGGGTCACGTGGTGTGCCGCCGGCGCGTTTCTGGTTGCCGGTTCCGCCGGCTCGTTCTCGCCGGCGACTGACCACCCGAATTCGCCATAAATGTAAAAAAAGAAAAAAACTAAATATGCACAATTTGTTTTAGTACTTTTTTTGTGCTTAAAGGGCAACTCCGCTAATATCCAAAGATATTGGGATAATGAGTCATTTTGCATTCAAAATTCCTAGTAAAAGACACCACGCCATTTGCTTCGCGAAAAATGGGATATGCATTTTTAAATCTTATTTTAAACACGAGAATCGAAACCAAAACTTCGGCTCCGTCCAGCAACATTAGCCTGGGGTCGCCAAGAACATGGCCATCACGTGGTACGAGATGTCACGGGATCCTCTACACAACGACGGGCGGGATTGGGGAGGGCGTGTGCCAGGCGGAAGTGTCGACTCGTCTGCACCGCACTCTCGCCACGTTTTGGTGTCTACGACATTGGACGGCGTCTGCACTAGAGTACTGCTATATAGTGCTCTAGTCTGCACAACTGCGGCATATGTCTGCGCACGTCGTGTACGTAGTGTGGATGACGGCGGTTCTGAAGCGGGAGACGGCGGTAACGGGCGGAACCACGGCGGGTCAACCGTACAACTCCCAAGAAGCGTTCTGCGCAGGTGCGTTTCCAGTTACGTGGACACCGCTGAGTGCCGAAAGGAAACGTTGCCGACGTCATCCGCTACGCTCGCATAGAGAAGCAAAAACAAGCAAAAGAAGGCAATGGTGATGACGTTTTGCTAAATGTTGGCTACGCCCACGCCGTAGCCTTGACTGCTCTTTTGGTTGCGCCTGAATTCGCCCGCTTGAGTCAGCCGATTTTAGGAACTTAGCGAGTTGCTAAGTTTGCCGGACCGTTTAAGAAACATTGAGAGACAGAACTGCGTCATAATATTTGACGTGTGGTCTTCCTAGGCGATACTGAAGAGGACTTCATTGTTTTTCAAAACCAAAAATGAAGCGGAGTGACGACCAGATCGCGCTTTCCCTTTTTCCCCCCTTCCTCCTCTCTCCCTTTCTACCCTGTCCCCCGTTGCCTGTTTCCTCTCCCCCCCCCCCCCCCCATGATGAGGAGGATCTTCTGCTTTGCAGAATCTTGAGGCTGGTCATTGACCTTCAACAGAAACGTGTTTGCATTCTTTTAAAAAGCAGGTTGGCTTTCTCGCAGTACAGCCAAGCGGTGCAGTAAACGCAACCAGACGAGGAAACTTGTTCACTTTGCACGCGTGCAGTTGATAGGCTTCCGAGTGGTATTATTGAGTTTAGGGACAAAATATTAAATCCTAACAACGCTTTAGGTCTTTTTTGTTTTAGAAAATTGATACACTTATTACTTTTTTTAGGAGAGAGACATTGACTTTTCTGTATGATTGGGTGGCGCATTTTGCAATTGACTCCATTTAAAAATGCAGCATTATGTGCACGCAACAAAAGACTACTGAGAACACCCAAGTTCTCGGACGGATGAGGTAAAATGGAGTCATCAGCTCACCAAACAAACTGTGATTATGGTACTAGGGCAAACGTTTTATGATTAGCCCAAACCAGCCTGACCTTGAGGAATCTAGTTCAACAATGTGTTCAACAAAATACCTAAAAAGACACAAAAGCAAAAAATAATTTTTTTAGCGTTTGGATAGAATGTGTAAAGGCCCGTTCACACTCTTGCGACCTCTTAAACCTGGGTTCCTTAAAACTTCCTAAACCAGAGAACACACTGGCGCCATCTATTGGGAAGCAGTGTAAACTCGGCGGTCCGGCATATTTTTTTTTTATTTCTCGCGCATTATCCTTTCTTTCTTGGCTCGAAAAACTTTTGTCAATGTTATAAACGAGTCTTTCTAAGGGTATCACGCACATTTGACCTCGGAAATCCTGCAAAACCTTCGCTCTTGTGAAATGCAGTTCCAGGGTCACCGCATAGATGGCTCCACAATGTCAGTGTGTTCCCTCATTCTAAAAACATTTAAGAAGTTTTAAGAGATCTCGTCTCTCTCAGTCGTACTCGGTCGCAAGAGTGTGAACGGGCCTTAAATCATAAAACACACTTTTACAGAAAAAAAACTTTTTTTTGTTGATATTGAGACTCATCTCAAGTACTCCGACATACTTGCTTTTGCTGATTAGTTTGGGACGACATGGCGAAATTTCGGAATTCCTCCTCACTTAAAATGACTCTCACAATGTAATTATTAAATTTTTTTTTTTTTTGAGGGGGGGGAGGGTTAATTTTATGACATAGTGCTGCAATCCAGGTATTTTTGCGTGCTCGGTGGTCTCTGTACTGCGTGTCACGAGTTACGTGCAGTACAGGTGAAGGCAACGCGAGGCGAGGGGAGAAAGGGCAAGCATTACGAAGGCTGGGAAGGAGAAGAGAAATCTCCTCTCCTCTCTAATGTTCCTAGTGCTCTTCCTTTCCCCCCTCACCCTTCATTTCCCTCCCCTTCCGTCCTGCCTTCCTAGTCCTCACCCTTTCTCTCTTCACCTGGCGTTGCCTTCGCCTGCACTGCACACAACTGGTAACACGGAGTATAGGAGCGATTCGAAAACATGGAACTATTTTGGGTCAATGTGACAAAATATTGCGCAAGACTCAAAATGAGTCTTGAAACCTAGATATCGCTCATATTTATTTATTTTATTTTTTGGGGGGAAAGCTTTTCGTGTAGTAATCAATCAGAACACTTTAAAATATTTTTCTTCTTTTACTTTTGTGTCTTTTTAGTTTAGCATTAAACAGAATTTGCTGATTTCTGTTATACACTGTGCAATCCCTACGAAAATATTTCTGCACGAGGATCTACCTGCCCTCCTGCATTTCAAGATGAATGTTTATAATCATGTTCGATTCAGCGCTATCCGTTTGCTCCTACTTGGACGGCGGAAAGAATGATGTGGCGATGGTCGTCCACACGCAGAGGGATCCCGTGGTTTCACCAGCAGTCCAACTGCTGCCTGGCAACCCCACGGAAAACGAGCAGCTGCTCAATGCCCTGCCGAGCATGCTGGGAAGCTTGCCACCCCAGACATCACCCATGGCTCCTCTCTACAACAGGTGTGCCAACAGACTATACACCGTTTATTGCATTCCCAAAACCTTTCCAGCTCGAGGAACGCACATTTTTCCCAATCGAGAGCCGAGGGACCCCTACCGGTCTCGGCATTTATGCATTAAGGCAGTACAGAAGTCTACAGACCTTGTAAACAGCAATTCACGTACTGGGGACTATCTGCCAGATAGTTATGCATCCATGAATGGCTTAGGACTACTGAAATAGTGCCTAAACTGGAAGAACACTTAGGGACAGGGATGGCTAGAGAAATTTCGGGAGCCCGAGGAATTGCTGAGGGTACTCTTTGGAATTCCCGAGTTGCCCAGGACGTTGCAATCGCTTGTAACTGGTTGGGACGAGAAAACATGATGGTGTTATCTATCGGACAGCCCTGGAACACCAAAATAAATAAATCTTAATTTATAAAACAATGTTTTTGCAGAAAAACTCTTAGCTTGTTCATGGACAATAAGATCTGTTCCGATATGCAGCTTGGTGCAGTCGCCGCGCTAGGTGGCAAAAACGTAGCAAAAACGAGAATGGTAATGCTACGAGCAAGCTATAGTAAAATATTTACTAGCATTTTATGAGCTCACTGGTAAATCCTAGTCATTGTTATACTGGCATTTTACCAGCTTACTCGTCAACGTATTCTGTGATAAGAGACTGTCTTCGTAGAAAATATATTAAGGGGGAATCTTATTGTTTGCCCAGGTTGTTCCTGCCATCAACTCATCTTCAGGAATTGGACGAACTCAGGTGGGTGGAGCTTTCTGGGGGCATGCACTGTAAATTACTTACTTGCAGTGATGAGCTCAAATTGTTGGACAACTTTGGCTGGATTAGTATCACAGTAAACCCTTCATAGTAAAAAAAAAACCCAAAAAACTGGAGTATTTAACAAAATTTATATTATTCTTTAATTGCTTTCCTTTGCAATCCATTTTATTTATTCTTTAAAATAAACAATCAGGTGTATGCAATTTTGGAATTAATACAATTGAGACCAAATTTATGAAGTAGCAAAAGAGAAAAAACACAACTTTGTGCAGTCAATGCAAAGTCTGCTTCTTTTGCAGGGCTTGTGGCGACACCAGAACGCTGACTTCTGATTGGCTCTGATTGAAGGGTAGTGGGTAGACCTCAATGGCTAGCTGCCTTGAGGTCTACCCACTATCCTTCAATCGAAGCCAGTCAAAGCCTTGACGTTCCGACGTCACCACAACCCCTGCACAAGAACCAGACGAACTTGCACTCGGCATAGGCACTGACACTCGTGGATGTGTCAAGGCAACATCACAATGACTGTTCATCATGAAGAGAAGAGTCATCACCAATATCCACCTGTATAAAAAAAAGGCAAAAAAAAATTGCATATATCATATATATGGAAGTGCTTGGGCGGGACACTTATTTCACAAAATAAACATTCCCCCAAGAAGAAAAATAAGTTTATAGTGTGATATTTACATCTCGAGGCGTAAGTTTCACAACACGTCGTAAATATTGCACCCAAGATATATGTGTGTGTGTGTGTGTGGGGGGAGGGGATTTTATTTTGTGGCATATATGTTCTGTTCATGCACTTTCTAAAAAGTTTCTTGGGAGTTCAGTGTCCCTTTAAGGACAGAGAATATGGTCAGTGTTAGCATTTTGTCAGACAGTATCTTTTTAGCTGTTCAATTTTCACCTAAACTTGCAGTCAAGACGACTTCATCTGCGACGACGTCAGCGAGTGTGGCGGTAGCTCGGCTCACAAGCGACGGAGACTGTCCGATTCTGGCCAGGGACAGATGCAGTCCAATGGCCTCCTCCAAGTCAAGCAGGAGCCTAGTATGTCGTGGCAATGCCCTTACATTCTTTTTGACCGCAGCAGAGCAGGAGTGCCACTGCATCGAGGTTCTTGTTACATTGATGGTTTTAAACAGATCTATTCAATTGTAGCTGCTGATTTTCACTCATTGATTTTGTTTGTTATACGAAGTATGATGATAACAGCTACGGTTTCTTAGTTTCAGCAAAACAGGTTCTGCACTATTTGGGAATGGGTGTTAGAAGAGCAATTGCATGAAGTTATTTTTTTTTAATTATTTCTGGCCGTTTTTATATTAATGTAACGTCTTTACTCTTTTAATTAACCTCTCAACAATGAATTGTAATAAAAATTGCCTTTAAACTTTCTTGATTTGCCTCAACTGAAGAAAAAAGCCTACCTAATATGGCATGATCTAAAAGAATTAAACTTGCCCTCAATATTTTCTCTTGGGTAAAATTAATTAAACCAAAATATTCTTCAAATTGTGGTTTCTAATTTTATAATATATCAATGCATTCTTTTGTTTTCTTTAATTCACATCAATAAATATACAGATACAAACAAATAAGAGACCAAAAACAATTCATGCTTTAATGCATATCTTGAGGCTGACATCACGATATGCCACGCAACTGTACGTGTTCTGATGGGCAAGTGTGAGACAGCAACTATAGCTTACATGCAGTATGGCCCTTGAGACTATTTGAACCCCTACGAATATGCTGCAACCAACAGCAGCCCAAGGAATATGAACCTGTCGAAGCCCGAGGAGAATGTGATAAAAAAAGCGGACAGCCAAGCCAATCGCTGATCAATGATCTGTGTGTGCTTCGTGTACAGGCGGATTGGGAGACGGGTCATCCCTATCCCTGGTGGACGATGATTGCAGCTACGACGCCGGAGGAAGCTCCACAGACTTTCTTGACTCGAGCCTACAGTGCATTCGGTTCCAGCCTTTCCAGTCAATGTCCTGGCATACGTTGCACGACCGGACGTTACAGCCCCTGTGAGTTGTTCGTCCTGATCATTAGCCACACCAGTTTTAGCATGGAATGTGTTCTAAGGCGGGAGATCCCCCAAGGAAAATGTTACACGGCACCACAAAATTTTGTCGCACGCCTGCCAAGTTTAGCTGATGGTGTCCCGCTAGATTTGGCGGCCATAAAGTGACGCAGAGACAATATATAACACTATGACTTCACATGTGACACGACATGATCATATGATTGGTTGGGCTTTAATGTCAAGTCGTGTGGTACCATGTTGTCAAGTCACGTGATATCATGACGTCACTATGTCACGTGACCCCCCGTCATAAGACACCGTGATTCTGTTACGCTTAATCAGTTACGTCTTTTGCCGCCATACATCCTTCTGAATGCATCCAAAGGACACATGCAACGAAACTCGCTCATTGCAAATAGTATGAGTATGCAAATGTTTAGCAAAGGTCAACTTCATTCAGGTTTCAAAAACTGTCATTTAACCTGCTTTTAGAGCGCAGCTCTTAGGCGCCCGTTTCCGGCTTAAGCGGCGTCGCCATCGCCGTCGGCGTAACCAAGGTCACCCCAAGGTCACGTGACCTCCAGGACACGCGACCCCCCAAGGTCACCACAAGGTCACATGACCCCTCCCAAGGTCACCCCGAGGTCACGTGACCCCCAGGTCACGTGATCCCTCCCAAGGTCACGTGACCCCCAAGGTCTCGTGACCCCCCGAGATCACGTGGCCCCCCAGGTCACGTGGCCCCCCTCCCCGAGGTCACGTGACCCCCTCCCCCCGAGGTCAGGTGACCCTCCCGGAGCATATTAAAGAATGAGGGGAGGAGGAGGAGAAGGAGGAGGAGGAGGGGGGGTCTACCCTCCCCTGAGTACCCTTCCCTCCTCCTCCTCAAGAGCTGCGCTCCAATTCGGCGTTACAGGGAGTTGTAAACAGCTTTCACTTTTCCTTTCTTTTTCTGTATCGATTTGCGCTTTGTTTGTATTTCACGTCCAGACAAACAAGCTATCTTCCAGCAGTATTATGCTTGTGAACTTATGCAACTATACAATTAAATAAATTCTGGTCAAAGCAAAAGTAGAAGAAAGCCTGAACTCCATGCATTTAAATATTCCAGGCCGCCCGTGGTGTTCCGAGCAGATGCAGACAAGGGCTTCAACTTCAGCAATGCCGACGAGGCATTTGTTTGTCAGAAGAAGAACCACTTTCAAGTTACAGTGCATGCGCAGGCCGTTGGCGAGCCGGCTTACGTGAAAGCTCCCGAAGGGCTGCGTAAGGTGGATGCCTTCTACCTACACTTCTATGGTGTCAAGGTGCGTCCACCAATATTCGCATCTTCTCAAGTATTTAATCATGTGCACGAGGCCTACCAGGTATCCCAAGTAGTGGCCAAGCTCTTTAAATCGACCGCAAGATTCGGTTTCTTAACCTATCACGCTACGATTTTGTGCAGCGTTGCCCACAAATGGTGAATTTTTTTTTGTAAAATTTGCAAAGAGCGAACTTACCTGAGGAAAAAGTAAAGAAAGTAAAAGGTTTAACTCCTATGGAAACACAGCGAAGCCACCGGTCTTCAAACAATATGGCGCCGTTTCGCATGGGAGACAAGAGATGGCGCAAGCGATCGCGACGCCAACTGCCGCCAACGAACGAGCATAAGGCACCGAGAGCCGACATCAAGCAGACAATCTTTTAGACTCAAAAGCGGCGCGCAACCCACAAGGGCGACGGTCGCAGAACCAAAAACAGGCGTGGTAACAACAAGGAACTGCAAAGCAGACGACTTAAGTACCCCGAAAAAAAAAAAATTGATTATGTATCCATTTAATGTGTTTTATTAGTAATTAAGGATGATAGAATAATGCATTAGCAACTGATATCAAAAAAGCTCGTGCCGCTTTTGAGTCGAAAAGATTGTCTGCTAATGACAGACAATCAATGGCTAAAAGTCTAAGGGAGCCATGCTCTGGGTAGACAGCCCGTACAAACATCCCACACGGCCAAGTGCTGTGTTTGTTCAACAGCTGAGAGATGATACTGGAACATTTTGCCTTGCAGGTAGAGTCACCAGCACAGACCATCAAGGTGGAGCAATCTCAGTCCGACCGAAGCAAAAAGCCTTTTTTTCCCCTGCCGTGAGTTGGTAGAATGAATGAATGAACACGCCTTGCATCACATATCATTCAGTCTGTGTTTGACTATATATTTGAAGGAGATGAACTGTTCTGTTTGTTTTAATAATATTGGTAGACTGCTGTGGCTAGTTGACCACTGTACAGTGCATTGAAACAGAAAGGGGGGGGGGACTTCCCCCAAACATTTTAGGTGTTTCTAATAGAACAGGGGTTCTCAAACTTTTTGGCCTCACGGAACCCCAGGAAGCTTCAAAAACTGCCACGGAACCCCCCCCCCCCCCCCCATATTTGCCGACCGAGAAGCAACAGATGCACAATTGTAGGCAATTTTGCTTGTGTTGCTTCCCATATATCCCCACCATATCAATCGCAATGTCAGTACAAAGTGAGATGAAGGTGCTTTGCATGATATTGCCACGCAGCCTGCGGCACAAGGGAGGGGGGGGGGTAGGGGAGAGGGGGTTGCAATTTTGGTGTTCGCGGAACCCATGAGACCAGCTTGTGGAACCCCTGTGTTCCCCGGAACCCAGTTTGAGAACCCCTGTAATAGAAAATGCAGGGGAAAAGGAGAAAAATTCCCCCTCCCCCACCTCCCAAACACTGCTGATGCCACTGCCACTGCACACACAATTGTAAAGTGGTACATTTAATGGCCATGACATGGGGAAGGCTACAAATTCTGGGTGAAGACTTTATTTTGTATAAAAGCAGCATTGGAAGATAGTTCCAATTGAATTTTTATAGTGCACTGTCATTAAGATTAGACTGATTGTAGTTAATAAATCTTTTAGCATCACAGTGTTATGACCCTGTTACCTTTTTATCTTAGCAGGCAAAAAAACAGTATAATTTAGTTTATTTATTCATTTATTTATTAAGTTCACAATACTGTTAGTCCCTACAATGGGGACTACAATAGAAGTGAGCAGCAAAAAAATAATAATAATAATAAACATTCAGGACACTGGAAGTGTTCCTTGAATACCATTTGAGGTTATGTAACCTCTAATGGTGCATAACTGATCAGTGTGTTAGGTACTTAACACTCTGATCAGTTATGCTGGTAACATTCTATTATGTTAAATGGCACAGTAGATACAACAATTATAACAAGGAGTCTATTTGTTAGATGTTTGTTGTCACATATTAAAATCCCCACTTTATGCATTGTGATGTACCACCAGGAAGGCATGCTGCTGTTGGTGGGCATCATCAGCAAACAAACATACTAAGTCATAGACATAAACATGTCCGCACATCTGCTGCCACCTCAACGTTCTGCAACGGCCACGGAGCACGCTATTAAAAGTTTCGAGTGACGTGTGCAGGGTGGACCTCAGCAACGGCCAGGTGGTGAAGCGGACGATCGGGCGGCTGCACTTCAGCGAGACCACATCAAACAACATGCGAAAAAAGGGCAAGCCCAACCCGGACCAGCGCTACTTCTACCTGGTGGTCAGCCTCTGTGCACACTGCGCAGAGACCACGTACCCCATTGCCTCGCAGGCCTCGGAGCGCATCATTGTGCGGGTGAGTCGGAACGTTTACCCCCGCTACAAGTGTCCTTAGTTATTTATTTGTTTATTTATTTATTTATCAATACTGCAAGTCTGTTGAGCAAAAGGAGGGTTGAACGATTGAAGTGTACACTTTTTACTCAAACAATACAACGAATTTTGAGAATGCATCCTTCTTTTGTACAATATATTCAACTGCACGTAATAGTAACTTTCATTTTTGTCAAAACTTGACAAAGAACACTCAATTTATAAAATTTCAGATTCATAGATTCATATTTATACCTATCTGGATCTATGTATCTCTTGGTTACACCTCACTGTACCTACAACAAGTCAGTACTGACTTTGTTGTATGGCATGTCATCTAATCAAGATATGCCACGCACAGAGCAGACTAGCCATATAGACTATACTGTGCCAAAATACCAAGTCTGAAAATAATGTCAAAGTAAACATTTTCTTTCTTTAGGTATGGTAAAGATTTTTTTTTTGTGAGCTCCCTTAATTGGCAGCAGCCAATTAAGGGGGTTCACCATTGGTGGTGCCTTAAGTGGCGGCAGCCAATTAAAGGAGCTCATAATTGGTGGCGGCAGCTCATGTATATACATATCTCTGTGCCATGTAAGAAATTTTAATGAAGTTATCTATCCTGACGTACCGTAACCATCTGCTCAGGTTCTTTTTCATCTTGAATGTACTGTAGGACCGCATGTCTTGTATATGCATTTGTTTATGTAACTTTTCCTCACGCTTAAATCCACTGTGTATTGAAGTTGTTTATTTCAAGATTCGAAATTCCAGCTAACCTTTCACTTGGCGGTCAACGGCATACATTTGGTGCCTAAACACCATGAAGACCTGGTCTCTAAATAAACTTTTTGCCAGAGTCAACCCAGGCCCATTTTGAACTTTACTCACACTGTCTACAAAGACCCATCACTAAATCTCCAGCAAACCAGTGCCCTAGAAACTAAGCATGCTGCACACATTCAACTGCATCACCCCCGATTCTTTTATTACACCAGTTCATGGTAAGCTGGCATTGTCTCGTATGCCAAGGACTCATAACGGTGCCTATAATGACATAGATAGGTAAATATCCTCATGCATCACTGTTTCAGGTTGACCATGTAACTTGATAAAAATCTCAGGGTTGCTCAATCATGTTGTTTATTTTTTTTTATTTTTTAATGAATTGCAGGCTTCAAATCCTGGTCAGTTTGAGAATGATATGGAGCTGTCATGGCAAAAAGGACAGACTCAAGACTCGGTGTTTCATGCGGTATGTAGCTATTTGTTTGCTATTTCTTTTTACTATGCTAATTAGGGCATTGTTACCTAATCCATCAAACAACCGATTGGCTATTTTTCACAGGGTCGTGTCGGTATCAACACGGATAAGCCTGATGAGCCACTGGTTGTTCATGGAAATGTCAAGCTGACTGGCCACATTGTGCAGCCATCTGACCAAAGGGCCAAATCAGACGTCGTTGAGGTGAGATGAAAGTGCTGCTCTAAGCTGGCTAGTACCTGAAAGCAAAAAGACTGATGGAAATGCAAACTCCCGTGATAGCCCTTTTATCGGTTTCTTCTTATGCTCGATACATGATCAAAAGGAATGCCAGTGACATTTTCAGTCTTTAAAAGCTCACGGAGGTTATGCAACAATGTTTGGACATCGGTCAATTAATTGTGGTAATTGTTCCCTGTCACATCTGGATTAAAGAACTGAAAACAAAGTTTGCCTACACGCGCTAGTATAAAAAAAAAAAAAAAAAACCGAATTGACGGTTTGTGAATTTTTAAACCACTCTCAACTCTTACATCTTCTTCCGAGTCACGTGCGCAGTGATGCGCAATAAGGATAGCAAGGATCCGGTTGGGTTCTCTTTCAGAGCCTCCAGCTCATGCAGGCTATGCTTGTGATTCACATGGCGACCTTCAAGGTTATTTTGAGCAATGTGGGGAGGGGGACAAAGAAAGAGAGGGGGCGAGAGAGCAAAGAGTTTGCCTTTCCGCAAAGAAGTTTGACTGACGTAGTAGCACAGCAGAGGAGGCTCAAGGGAGGAATAGTTTTTTTCACCTCGGGCTATAGTATAGTCTCGGTAATATGGACTCTGCCAATATGGATACCTCGCTATGTGGACACAATCTTCAAGGACAAACCATTATGGACGATATTTGGGGGGAATGGAGGTGTCCGTATTAATTAGACGTCACTGTACAACTTTTTCAATGATATGAAGTTTTTGACACATTAGTCATGTTGGAAGGACAATATTTACCAAATATAGCATTACATTGAGCACAGAACAGCACATCTTGCCAACTTATTACATTATACCTATTCTGCGTGATGCCTTAGTTCCTATGGCCGCCATTTCGTGGCTGCAAATCGCAAACTTTTTCCATTCTTTCCTTCGCTATTAAGAAAAGGAATCACGATGTTTCAAAAGAATGAGGTGGTTTCTTCATTCATTTTGGTAAGATAAAAAATTTAAAAATATAAAACTGCAAATTCTTTCGAAGTTAAAATTGTTGGATCAATCCTTTAAACCCTTTACCATTTTGAAGGAAAATTGCCTTTTCTTGCTACACAGCACTTGATTACTTAATTCAGGCAATGCAATTAAAGCTAAATGCACATGCTTCTGATCTTGTAATGTAATATAACCATTGGATGTGCTGTAAGCTTAAAGGGGTTGAGAAACGTTTTTTCCGAAATTCTGAGCTATATATCTGTTTGGAATCCGCGTCCTTTATTACATAACCCACATTCATTCTTTTGCTTGTGCAAAAAAGGTAATTTCGGTTTCCTGGGGAGCTTCCCTCTCAGTTCTATAAATATGTCATGATAGGCAACCAATGGAGAATTTTTGTTGTCTGCGCAACATGGCGATGTGGCGACTCTATGGGCGAAGCCAGGCATCAAATATCGCTCCAACAGCAGCGCCATAATGGCATTACGCACGGAAGTGAATGGATGACATCCGACGTTTGATATTATACACAGATAATTGTAAGATTGCCGATCTCATTGACATCTTTAGTGTTGCCTAGTATTACACCACGGTCGGCTTTTTTGTTTTCAGCCGCACGCTGACACAGTGACACCATACATTGTTTGTGCTACTGTATGTCATACTACAGAGGAGAGTTTGTGAGGGAATTATCTGCACCTTGGATCGTTCAAGCCGAGTCCTGGTATGATTGTCAAGTGACAAGCCGTGAACATGTTCTTGCTTCGACCAGGAAAGTGCTGATCTACTCGCAGAAGAAGGACAACAAGGCTGGAAATATAAGTGAAACGAATCACCTTTGCATACTTGAGGATCGCCATGTCAAGTTATTACTGAGGAAGGTAGTGGTAAAGGAAAATTGATGAATAACTCACAAATGAATCCCTGGTCGTGGGGAAACACCAAAACACTGCGTCTTACGGCTAACCCGCAAAATAAACAGTCCGGAAACGCATGTGCCGATGGCCAAGAGGTCACTCACGCGCGTCCCTCCTTCCTATAGATTTTGCAAAATTCAGGGTTTGAATACTCTTAAGGGGACACACCGCCTAGGGGGGTCAACTTTTGAACCCTTGTCTTAAAATTAATGAAATCTACAGGGTAGGCTGGTGGTCATGCTAGAGGGTGTATAACAAAATTTCAGGTCTCTCGGTTAAATGAGAAGGAAATTAGAGTAGCTTCCATCAGCAACACGCCTACATTGTTTAGTTAATCTATCGTTAGAAAACTACCACAATATTCAAGATTTTTATTCACTAGATATGTAGCAGAATGCCTAGAGGGTGCGGCTATGAAACGTTTTTTCTAAGAAGTAATTTATTTCTATAAATTTTCTCTTCTGCAAAATTGGTCAACTTTTTGGTCTTCTGTGTCTTCAACAAAATGTCAACATTTTTTATAAAAGACATTCGTTAAGCGGCAAAAACGTTCCATAGCCGCATTCCTTATTGAATTTCAGTCAGGAAAAGGGAAGAATGAGCCTTCCCTGTTTTGCCATTATCAAACGATAGATTGACTAAAATGGAATTTTTACCAAAAAGTGGAATGGAGAAAAATGCGTTCAAAGTGCTCCAAACCCTACCTTTTCTTTAGCTTTGGTGGACAGAAAATAATTTATAAAAAATTAACTACGCAGTGAAAATTAATTAAACTTTTTAGGAATACTCTCTAGATGTTGGTGGATGTAAATATGTCATTCTTCAAAATCAACTTTTTTTGCAGAAATTTTTTTTTCTGGGCAGTGTCTCCTCTTAACGTTGTAATTTTTCATCGCTCAACTTTGTGTTTTACCATACCATATTTTCCGGACTATAGTCTGTACCCAGTGTATAGTCCGCATGCCGTGTATAGTCCCCACTTAGTGACTAGTCAAAACGTAAAAATTATGATACGCAGCACACCCTGACAAATGCCTGCTGTATTGCCTCACAAAGAGGCTTGTATCACACATATATCAACATTAATATACACCGTTATTCATAAATTCCTTCACATCTTGTCCCAGTGACCAAACTAGAAAAAAAAAGGCTCAAGGTACACTTTATCACTTCTTATAAGTTGTGAATACGAAAGCATGCACGTCATTCTTCTGCTCCCTTATTCCATCTGCAGCGTATTTTGCGTTGAAAGCAGAGCGCGCCCTCTCCTTGCCGGACACGCAGCGCCGTGGGGTGGCGGTCGTTAAAACTGACGTGCAGCGGCCAATGGGAGCCTCGTCGACGTGCACCAGCCAATGGATTGAAGCCGAAATCCATCAGCTTTACTTTGCTCCTTTGGGATCGGGGAAACTTGGTGCCGTTTGGCTAGGCTTTTTGCATGATTTCATAGCTGGGAGCTGGCTTCACTTGGAGGAAGGATTTAAGGTGCCGTTAGGCACGGCTTCAAAGCTGGTGACGTTGGCTCACTCCATGGGACAGTTAATGCTTTTGCATTAAAACCAAATCTTTGTATAGTCCACACCTGTAGATAGTCCACATTGGATAAACTTTCAACTTTTAAACGTATAATCTGCAGACTATAGTCCAGAAAATGCGGTACTGGAATCCACAGTCGGGTTCCACAACCGCATTTTACAACGAATGCGAGCCGCAGCGGGATGAGCAGCATAGTTACAATGGTTACCAAATGACAGAAGACCCAGATGTGTTTGAAACCGAAACTGTACTGCGATCACGTGATGTAGTGGCGTACGATTAATGCAAGAATGCCAGTAAACAACTCAATGTTTTCATCACTCCCAATTTATTACTTAAAGACTAAATAAAATTGAATGTCTGTTCAACCTTTCTACATAGCTATCATGACGTTTTGTTGCTCATGCTGCCAGGGGGTGTCACATGGTCATTTCGGAAAGTCCCAAAAACACAATTTTTAAAGACGGTTTATAAAATGCAGACGCAATATTTAGCCGTAATACTTCGAAATCAACGTCTTTGTGGTTTAATAAATATGAAAAAAAATATATAGTATCCGGCAGATGCATTTTCTTTTCATGGGCCCTCTAATAATCATTAGGTATAGTTTAGACAGTGCAGTAAATGATACGAAATGTGTATCACAACATATAGGTGCTTTCAAACCTGCTTATAACACACTCCAGAACTTGGAAAACAGTTTGTTATAGCAGAAGTTTGTTGTAGAAGTAAAAGATTGTTATACATAGTGGAAGTTTGTTCCAATTGTGACTGACATAAATGAGCTGCAGTTATAACAGCATAATGAGCTGTTATGGCGGTTTTCGAAAATTGGGGCGGGGGGGGGACTTAAATTACGTTTGAGGAACCCAACGAAGGGTTCATCCAGTTTCTTGATCTCTCGCTGTCCTTCAAAGAAAAATATTTGCTGGTCTTTCCGCCCGCGGTCTAGAAAGGCAATGCTTGACTACAGGTCTGCCCATTCGAAAATGGGTATAGCCGTTTTATGCCTGGGGTCGGCCCTCAGGAAGTCATGTGTGCACTCGATGGGAGACAGTTTCACGGGGCAAGTGAAAGTGAATTGACTCAAGATGTCGGGGTTTCCGGTGAGCCTTTTGGCTGAGGTTGCGCGCTCACTGCTGAAACAAGCAAAAGGCATAGAGAAGAAAAAGACAGCCGTAGAGAGAGGTCGTAGGGTGGTAGTTCCCTACCTTCATCGCCTTTTGTGGACGACGGTACGGGATACCTGTTGTGTTTTCAGCGCCACAAAAAATGGGTCAGGTATGCGCAAGGGTTAGTGCAGGCGCGAAAAAACGTCCACAAGCTAAGTGCACAAGAAGCACAAAACACCGTTTGTGACATGTACAATGGGTGTCGTCTACCGAATACCCCTATCTTGTGGAAGATCCTGTTACGATGCGATGTTATCGCTTATCGCTGTCGCGGCCGCAGCAGAACTGCTGAGTCAGGGGGGCGTACCTCTGGTGCTTGCTGCCGATATAAGCGGCATCGCCGGCAAGCTTTGTGCTCTTTTGGTTCCGGCTGCCGAACAATAAACGCTG